AAACAGAGACAACAAAGCATTTCAGGCAGGACACTTCCTTTCGCTGGTTTTGCCCCATAGAATTGGGGGTTTGTTCTTACACACAAGTTTAATGTTACCTTTTCCTGTCTGCAATGGACAGACAAGTGATATATGCTGATTTAAAAGTATCCAGGGATTCAGGCCCTGAAAGTTCATCACCTTCATCTCTTCCTCGGGGTAAGCGTAAGCAGAAAAGCAGAAAGGCAGGGCAGCAAGAAAGACTTAGTACAGGAGAGCATCCCCTCCAGGTGCACAGCAAAGCTCTACTCAGTTCCTTAAATGTTAGCATGAATGAATAACAATTTTTAAAAGTCACCAAATTGCCTTTTATCTATAGTTTAAAAAACACTTTAAAAAACAAAAACAAAAACTACTATTTATCGAACAGTTACCATGTGCCAGACACTATGCCCAACATTTAGGAGAATTGTTTCATATAATCGTCTCCAAAACCTTACCGAATAAGGTTTTATGAAAGTTGGACATATTGCCCCAAAATAACTTGTTGAAACTCAGATCTGCTCAGTTCGAAAGACTGTTCTTGATGCTAGACTTTAGTAATAAAAATTACTAAATTAATTTTAGTAATAAAATTACTTGAAATTAAAATAATGACTATATGGAGCTTTCCTCATTTTGCAAACAAACTTGGAAGGAAGGAAAGGGTGAGGAAGAGAAGAGACAGAATGGTGAAATAATGTATGTATGTATTAATAAAACTGAAAGGAAAGACATGCTAGTGTTGTCCCAGGCTCATTGACTGGGTTTAGCCACTCTTATGTCACACTAGCTCTCATTAGAAGTTCTGGACCAATATTGCCAACCTTGGTTTCCTCATTTTCAGATGCATCCATGGGACCTTGGAGTTTCCTCTAGATGTCTACTCCTATCTCCCACTCCACTGATGTATGTCCTCAATAGTATCTGATAATAATCCACATATCACTTCCTTGACTCTAATGTATTATGTTTCCTCCCACGATCTTTTATCACATTTAGCTATACTAAATTCTATCTTCTCAGCAACATTTCAGGGACAGATAATTCACTTATATGAATGTCAGCATCCTAATGCTAGAGACCATTAAATCTGTGAACCGGCTTGCACAACTTAATTCTCAAATGTAATGTGCATTAAAAAAAGTAGAAATC